TGTAAAATAATACGAATGTCTAATAGTCTATCTCCATAGTCTGATATTCGGTCAATACCAAATATTTGTATCTTTTTTTATCCCAACCAAAATTATTGAGCTGTCTCCCTGCATTGCAATAATTAAGAAACCAATGTTACTGTCTCTTAACTACCTTATAATCATAACCCTTGACTGTTAGCCCCATAATTTTAGTCTTGTGCCAAACTTGGCTAACCTTAGTCAATAATTGCAAAGTATGTCCACCACAACGCAACACCGAGAAGTTTAGTAGGAAAGAAGGAACAGTGAACAGTAAATAGACTCGTTCATTCAATACACTCTCACTAATGGTGTAATACTCATCTGGTGTACTTACTGTTTAATATACGATATATCTGCAAACCTAGTTTTTGTTATTACTTAATCATTTACTTGGACGCAGTAGTATGGAACTGACTTTCGTATTTGCTTATTACGTTTACTGGGCATTATACTGATATATAAATGTTTAGTAATAAATTTGAAATGTTACGACTTGTGCAAGGGTAACATTAAAACTATCTAAAGCTGGTTGATGCAAACCCATTACACTCGCCGTAGGCCTGAAATAGCGGTCAACTACAACTGCTCACTTAGCGACCAGCTCGTTTAGTGACCAAGCTGTAGAAATTAAATATGATTGTTAAGTGAATAATGGCTGTGTACTTTTAATGTATTTACAGTATACAAACCAAAGCAATGTGCAGAATATAGTTCACTTTCGAATTTATTACGTTTACTGTTCCTTACACCACGATAATGTATAAACCTTTAGAAATAGACCAGAAATGTTATAAAAGGTTGAAAAAGTGACATTTAAAGCTATCTGTTCTTGATTAATAAAAGCCAATTGTAAACAGAGTATGTCTGAAAAAGTGGTCAGTTACACATTCTTACTTAGCGACCAGTATGTTTCGCAACCAGGTCGTTGAAACTGGTTTTGCAGCCATTTTGGGTAAATGTTTCTCTGGTTGTATTTTTATTAAATGAGTATAAGGGGAAATGTGCAGCCCTTTGAAGTACTTTTTTTTACGATCCCTTTTGTATTTTCTAATAAATGTAGCATTTTAAATAGAGATTTCAGATTTTATACACGCTCATCTTACTGCCATCAAAACAATAGTTAGTACATTAGTAAAAATTAAAAAAAAGATAAACATCGCTTGCATCAAAAACTTACAGGATTTATAGAAGAAAACCAGAGTCAGGTTTGGTGAGGTTTCAGCTTCAGGGAACTTTATATATATATATATATATATATACAAATCTGGCCAGTCGATATTTTATGTTGGACAAAAAAAGGATCATTTTCTCTCCCATCAAAATGAATCAAAACAAAATGAATAAATCAAGTGAAAATTTGATGAAAAAGAATTATGCAAAAAAACGAAATAATCTATGTATTGTGGTGACCTCACTCTAAAGAGTCTATGTTAGACTCTTCCACCTACTATAAGTTTAGTAGGACAGAAGGCTTCGGGAGACAGTGAATAGATTGAGAGCTAGTTCATTCGATACACTCTGACTAGTCGTGTAATACTCCTCTGGTGTACTTACGGTTTAATATACGATATATCTGCAAACCTGGTTTTTATTATTACTTAACAATTTACTTGGACACAGCAGTATGGAATTGACTTTCGTATTTGCTTATTACGCTTACTGTGCATTATACTGATATATAAATGTTTAGAAATAAATTTGAAATGTTACAACTGGTGCAAAAGTAACATTAAAACCGGTTCATACAAACCCATTACACGCGCATTATTGGCCACAACAGTTGCTTTTTTTAAAAAAAAACAAAAAACGACAAGACAGTGTGAGAGCTAGGAGTAATCGGCTGCAAGATTCGGATCATCTTGTTCTGTGGGTCGTTTTTTTTTTTATATATAACTAAGTGCATCATCTGCATACTTGTTTTTAAACGACTAGCAGTAGAGCCCGGCGTTGCCCGGGGATGTAACAGTAAGAGATAGATCAAGTATCGACCATCATAAAGACTGAAAAATAAAATTGACAAAGATTATTGTTTAAGGTTGACGGACACACATGTCTTAATTAGTTTTATTTTTTTGTTTTGTTTTGGGTTTTTTTTGTTTTTTTTTTTTACGAATTGGTCAAACCCATACTCAAACAAAAACATTGTTTTCAATCGTTATTAGTCTACCGATTGAATAGAATTTTATTATAAACAATTGTCTTGTAAATGAAATTTTTAAAGCATTCTGAATGTAAAAATAAAGAAAAAAGTGTGAAAGACAATAAGAAACACTACCTGCCAAAAAAAAGTGAAGTTTTGTTGAAATCGGTTGAAAAATGTAGGAAATCCGATCCCATATATAAACGAACACACACACACACACACACACACGCACACACACAACCAACCTGGGTTTTATAATAAGTATAACTCGATAACTCGATATTAATAAGTATAACTCGATATGAGTTGTCCCCCTTCCATTAATGCCCCATAATCGTATTTTCAAATTGATTTCGTGCAAAAACAATTGTGTTTTTCCAATTTTTGACGCTGTCAGAACCACCGCAAGGTAATTTTACGTAGTCCTGTGAAGTTTTGTTGAAATCGGTTGAAAAATGTAGGAAATCCGATCCAATATATAAACGTACACACACACACACACACACACACACACACACACACACACACACAATCTGCGTTTTATAATAAGTAAGATTATATGTTCGCTCGGTATTGAGAGCCCCACTGTGCTGTCTATGAGCCAATCGGAGCTTACCTTAGTAGATATCTACTAAAATACCTCAATCCAGAAACATGTCGCTGAGTTGTGCAGATACGGACCGTAAGGCTGGTCATCATCTGTCAGAAGAAGCTAATCTTGTGTCGAAATATTCCTTCGGGAAATGGTAAACATGTTTGGCAGACATTTGCTGTCATAGTGAGCTTAATCCGCAAAAAGGTGTCCACTCTAATGGTAGACTTCGTTAATCTTAGCAAATACAAATCATAAATGATCTTTTAAAGAGTCTTACATATTCTCTCTGTCATGTCCTCTCAGAACGGAGGCGACCATGGTTAACAATTTGTCCTTTTTTGTTTCAGTAAATTGAATTGTGATGATTGTCTTTTTTAAGGAAATATAGAGCAATGTTTTCTTGTTGTTTTCGCCAGGGATTTGAATTCAGAATTCTTATCCGAGACTGGCTACCGGCCAAGGCTAGAGAGACCAGTTTTACTTTGTTATCTTATATATAAAGTACAGTGTATGTGTGTGTGTTTGTCCAAGTTACTCCTCCGCACTCACTTGTCTGATTTCAATGATTACTAATTCATCCAAAAGCCCTAGAAAAGTTAGGCGCAGGGAACGATTTTTGTTGAACTTAGAATCAGTGTTGCCAGATTATGCGAGGTTAATATATATATATATATATATATATATATATATATATATATTGAGGAATCGCAGAGCCGAGTTCGAATCCAGGTTGAACCCATTACATTCACTTACGTGCTAATACCCTTGGGAAAGGTTTGAATCCTATTCTTTTCCCTCCAGCTATGGGTAAAATAGCAGGACAGACTGGGTTCTATAGCCTTGGATGGCAACTGGTCTAGGAAAAGGACAACTCTGAATTCAAAACTTGATTGGGGTTGTTTGGGAACCTTGTGCCACGTAGTGCACCAGGTTCCTGTATTCAACCCTTCAAAAAAGTGTGGATGGTCCTGCACGAAACCTTCACTACTATAATCGAATCTCATGTGCAGGCGTCAGGCTGTCAGTTTCCTGGCAAATGATTTGCTTGACCCTCATACGTCGAACTCGACGGGAGAATCGATTATATATATATATATATATATATATATATATATATATATATATATATATATATATATATTATACTAGCCATTATTGTTGCTTTCATTGTATCCAAAATTGCAGCTAGCTCAAAATTTTCAGCCAGGTTAAAAAGCCGCCCTATTGTTCAACATTTAATTTATCTCCTGTGGAAAAATCTCGGTTTGGCCATCATCCCTATAGCTAGGGAGAAGTAGATGCGATAGGCATCAATAAACTACAGAAGAACTCAAAATTGATCGCTGTATTTAAGAATTGAATTAATGTTTCAGCTTAACTTTTAGAAGTTCAACGATAATTCTGCTACCACTTAATTTAAAAACGATTTGATGTACGTAGATCCTTATTTTCCGTACAAAAAATTATTTGTATTTCATGGGTGACAATTTATTAGACAAGGGACAATTTATAAGATAAAATTATTATAGTGTAAAGATGGTAAAATAGAAATTAGTTATACATTCAACATTAGAAGATTTAGCGGAAGATAACAGCTAATTAAGTAATCCCTATATTGTGGAATGTATATAAATAAATGCCAGATTGGAGCTCAATTCTCCCACGAATTCTGCGATTAAAAAGCCCCCGGTTCTACATAAGAATAATTTAAACGGTGTTTACTCGTCCCCCCACGAGGACGAGATGTGACACAGGGTCGGTTTAATGTGGGAAGCCCGAGCGCGTGCACCCGGGCAAGGAACAAAAATTCCCCGAGATCTTTGTTTGCGCTGGCCGCGGTGTGTGCACCGATCCTTCTCTCTAGTGCAATGAGAAGGCGCGGTTTCGGGCAGCTGTTCCCCAGGGCTGGGCACCTCTCAGTATAATTTTCCTCAGTTGCCCCTCTGTCCCTTGACGGAGTCGACCCTGAGCGCACTCTGTCCAAGTACAGAGACGCAACTGAGAGATGATAAATAATGCGTACAAATTACTTTATAGTAATTCATACATTATTAGAATAATTTAATGTCTGTATTATATATTATATACGTCTAGGCAAGATCATTCTTCAGGTTTAAGTAATTTGCATATTGATTTTAAAAAAGATTATTTAATTAATTAACTGTTCTTCATTACTTTTCTTTTATTCGAGGATTGTTTTGATTTTCATATAAAAATACTTCTGTTTAGGAATATCGT